TCTGAACTTGGTTTCCTTAAGATCAGAGACCTGCCTTGTTCCTCTTGATTCCTCCATTGCCAAATGAAGTGCCCGAAACACTGAAAGACCACACCATACACACACGTGCATGCACACAGATTAAATATATCTTACACATTATGCTATATATAGTATATATAATAGATATTTATATGTCATGCTGTGCAGCAAATTATCAATATATAACACATGCATATTATAAAGTAATGAATTTCCTGAATAGTAATTGACTAGCTTTGGGTAATGGGCTATGAGGAGGTATTTTCATCTGGCTAACCTCTCTTCAGACCTCTATTGTAGACTTTATAAAACTTCCGCTTATTCTGAGGGAGGTCAGGTATTTGGTTCTCATGCTATTACCACATTTCTCTCTCTATTGCCTTCTATCTTTGTCTCTTTCCCAAGCTGCTTGTAATATCCAAACCAAACCAAACCAAAAAAGCAATAACAAATTTGAAGATAAGGACCGACCCTTGTCTAGCCGTATTCGAATTCCTAACATTGCACTTGGCACATGGAGGGCATTCAATCATGTTTGCTAAATGAACAAAGGGAAGAGCAAGCAGCATGTCCTTTGCTGTGTTGTAGAATCATTTCATACAAATAATAAAAGTAAACTGTCATCTTAAGATGTTTAACCATAGAGCTGGGAGGACATTGGGTGGAGCTGGCCCCTTAACTCTCTAGCCCTGACTTCCTGTTAAACTTTGTGGTAACTTCTGGTGGAGGGATGCTAATAAATAGAATAGCCATCCTGGAACCGGGGCTATTCTTCTTCACATGAACAACCAGCTGGTTGGAGGTATTGCAGTCCTGCACTGCTGTGATGGCTTTTGTTTCTTTTCTTTTCCTGAATAAACCCTTCTTTTGGTGGATTTCCTGGAGAGTTATTTTTGGCCAGTCAACACAGAATAGCCACAACCTTTCTTTACCCATTTAGGTTCCCAGTGTCCAAACTAATACACTTAACCATGGGCCAGAATATCTAAATTGAATGGCAAGAGGCCAGTGCTAAACATGGAAAACCAGAAGAGGAAGTGTCTCATCGGTTCCTATAGGAACGCTGTTGCAGTTGGGTGTTGAGGGTGGTGAATGTGCTGGCTGCTCGCTGGTGGAGCTGGTGTAGAGGAGCTTGTCAAATGAGGAGACCAAGTAGAAGAGTGAAGGGGAAATACCTCCCCTAGATGCCCCTCTGCTAGGGCTGCCCGAGAAAATCCAGGAGATAGAGGGGATGCTAAGTCTTGGGAATATTAAGACCCTCTTATTTCAATTAGATTGACTGGTGATCTATGTGATATTGGGCAAGATATGTTATTGGGCAAGGTATGCTCTAACAGCGATGCCCAGTCATTACGGCTTCCAGGGTGATGCTTGATGGTTTTAAATAGGAAAAGTCAGGCTAGATTGCACAATGGAAAATCTACTTTCAGTTCAGATTCTAAGCAGGAAGTAATTATTCCCATCAAACAGTGGTTAAGATGCTCCTCCCACGGCCAGGAACCTGACATATGCTGGTTTGGCTAGAAACGACACACACACACACACACACACACACACACACACACACACACCACCACCACCAACAACAACAATGAGCCACTCATAGAGGACAAAGGCTAGACAGATAGGAGCCTACCATCCCATAACACAGTCTTTCTCAAAGATTAGTGGGAAGGCAGGTAGTGAGGACAGGAAGGCCTCCATGGAAACTGTCCATCAGACTTGTTACCTTTATTGTACTTGAGCCAGGAAAACAACAAATAATCTGGTCAGGGACATGCAAAACAGACAGCACAGAACAAGACAATTTGGGGCATAGAAGAGGGTCTCCACATCATGGAAGAAAAACACAGTTTGGATACAAACTGTTTCCTAGACCCCCTAATTAGGGTTATTATTAGTTCCTTGAAGAGAATGATCTGGAGATGGATATGAGAAATCTCTGTATATCTGTTAGATTATTGTACACATAATATGTAAATATGTGTATAAATATGTGTATGCATGGATGTACATATGCATCTATTTATGTATAATGAAATATATACAATACTCTATAGAGTAGATGTTTATAAATCTTAACAAATACTGTTGTTCCCTTCATACAATTCCAAGTTTAAAATCTTATTTATATATCATGTTTGTCTGGGTATTTTCTATTATCTATCATCTATTGGGTTGTCGGAGAAGTCATGACATATTTTTGCAACGAAAAACATAGAATACATCGTGACTTTTCTGACAACCCAATATCTATCTATCTATCTATCTATCTATCTATCTATCTATCTAATCTATTTATCATCTATCATTTACCCATCAATCATCTATTTATCTATGTATCTTCAAACCAAAGTCAAATCTATTTGTCACAAAATAAGTACATTTTTTTTGCTAGTTTTTTTGAAATTCCTCATTTTATAGTTCCTTAATGAAAACTATTAGACTATACAAAAGTCTGGTGTTTTGTCATTATTCATACTGATTTTTTAAAATTTCTAACATTTACAGATGTTTCTACTTCTGAATATTTATTCCTTACCTTTTACCACTCTTTCAAGAAAGAACGCCCTCTGTTCTCTCAAGCAATCCATTTCCAACCTGTCTACTCAACTACGTCAGCTTATCTAGATCTTTCTGTACTGGGAGGCTCTGTCCTCTAGTGCTCATTTGGGCATCTGTCCCCCTGCATGGAAGGTTTTATTCTAGTTGGGTGGCAAATTCCTTGACAGCTGTAATTTCTTTCATACCTTCCAAAGCTTCAGAAGTACTTCTGTACTTCCTTAGCACAGAAGTAGGCCACTGGTAAATGTTCAACATGGATTTGCTAGTTGGACTTAATTGAAAAAAAACCTTGTTCCAACTGTCTGAAGCAGTAACAGGCCATAAATACAAAACCTGGAGTTTGGTGCTAATTTACCGCTCATCAAATCCTGAGACGTCACATCTGAGATGTTAATTCTGATAGCTTCCACCAAAAACATACCAGTGCTGACTCATTTATCCAGAATATGAAAAAGACTTTGCGAGTGTCACTTGTTCTAACCTGAAGTGCCTTCATTTCTGGGTCCTGTTTCTGCAGCCCTGGAAGGCATTCTTGAGATAAGCATGCCAGTTTTCTTAAGATATGTTCAAAAGGTTAAAATAATTAATGAGGACATACCAGAGCCTAACCTTGGTTAGGGACAGAAAGAGGAGCTGGATTTTATTTGGAACAGTTTCTCATTTGAATAAATATTTACTGAAGTGAATAAGCAGAGGGAGTTCCACCTAAAATTTGGAAAGGAGGCAGGAGACGATTAGAGAAGCAGGGAGGAAAGGGTCTAACTTTTCGGGGGCCGATTTTAAATTCTGTGCCTGTGTGTATGCATTTCAGACATGACATGAGTGCAAGAATTATAGGGACAAACCATTACTCTTCTTCTGGAGTCAGTCTGCTACTCATTCCGGCATCACGCATCTGGTACAAAGGCACCAAAGACATCGTTGTATTGAGACATTTCTGAGTGACTCTGGGGTTCTTTTCTTCAGAGGCTGTTTATTGATTGAGGAAAAATAGGACCCAGTTAAAATTTAATAGCTCAATGAGAAATATTGCTGCGTGCAGTGTGGTTTTAAGGGAGGATGGAGGAAACAGCATTCTTTCCACCATTACCCATCTAGGAGTGGTGGAATAGACCACCCACTTGGTTATCCTTAGCTTCCTCTTTCATGAATGAGGATGTTCAATCTCTAGGCTTTTGTTCTAATTTTAAAATTCGCTAATTTTCTGTTAGCTTGAAAAATTGTCTTCAAAATACTTTCCCTGTACCTCCTTTTATCTAAATGAACTTTAGCTGAATTACACCCTGTGGCAAACATTGTAAAAAAAAATCATTCTTTTCTCAGATTTTATCATCGAGTCAGTCTTCACAACCTCTCTAAGAAGGGAAGAGAAGTGATGAACACTTATGGAGCACCTCTTATGAGCCAAGACTTTGACAATGATTTCATTCTCAAAACAGCCTTGTGAAATGAAAGTTCTCTCCATTTTACAATGTAGGAAAAAGAGAGGTTAAGTGCCATTTGGGATGTCACTGAGCAGATAAGGGCTGGGCAGCACCAGGCTCCCACCTCAAGTCAGCCTGCATTAAGAGGCCATGTTCTTTCTAGCACATGATGCTGGTATTCTGTAAAAAAGGTAGGCATCCTATTTAACAGACGGAAAGACTGAGGTACAGAGAACCAGGGCACTTCTGCCGTTTTGTAGTAAGTCAGCATTTTTGGTGCCAGGAAGAAAATTCAAGTTTTGGGGACTAGCGTGTAAGCTCAGAAAGGGAGGGAGGGTGCAAGAAGATATCCTTTTGTAGGATAACTTCATTTCTATTTGATGCCAGTATTGAATTTTCAGGGTTTTCAAACAGTGAGATATGAGAGAAATGAGCTTGTTGTATTTACATACATATTTTATATCTAATTCTAGTAATGCCCTTGGTGTTTGTACAGGCTATCTCAGAATGAACATATTTTATATCCTAGAAATTCATGAAACTATTTTTTCCAAACCATGCATCATAGCCTGCCTAGCCCCCCACCCCCAGCCTCACACATACACAATGTCTGAAGCATGATAGGGCTTTGTCTTGAGGTTTATTTCTTCTTATAAAAAGTAATTTTCTTATCTGGAAATAATTTGTAATGCTGCACTGCATAGCCTGTAGTTCCTCTAGCTTCGGAAAAGATTTTTTTCCTTCTGAACTTCCCTCCTGTTGTTTTTTTTAATCCTCTGGGTTTGTGTTGGCTGTTAGCCTCCTGTTCCTTTCATTGCATTTGGCCTGGGATCAAATGAGACTCAGCACTTCTTATCCTAGAAGTATCGTTATCCAACACACAGAATCAGAAGGAAAACCCCGCCTCTTACACCCACTGCTGATTACCATACTACAAAACTGACTAGATGCATCAATTGCCCATCACTTGTGAATTTCTGCTCTCCACAGCTTTCCTCCCTGCAGAGTATGAGTCTGAGACACATGGAGAATATGCCTTTCCACCACTCAAGTCCTCCAGGAGCACAGAGAACATCCTGGAAGCCATGGATCTTCTACTCAACAATAGTTCTCTTCCTATTACTTTGTTCCCTCGGCACCCTGGTCTGCACTCTTCTCCCATTCAAGGTAAGAGACAAAAGCACCTCAGCTTGCTATTTATTCTAATCCTGTCTTTCTAAAGTCTGGTTATTGACATTGTCAGAGCTGATTGGGTGAGACATGTGAGTACAGGAAACGTAAATATAATTTCAATGTTGTTGTGGCATATGACTTTAGGGGCTTATCTCACGGCTTTGAAATGCGAGATATTAGAAAATGCTGAATGTTAGTGGCAGAACTGACTTAGATGGAGAGAATCATTTAATTAAGTCAGCCAGTTGACAGATGTGTATGGAGTATTTTTCCTCTTCCTGGAACTTTGCTAAATAAACCCTTTTGGTGGAATAAAGAGGTATAAGACAGGATGCTTTCTCTCAAGGAACGGGACACAAGCCTATAGTCTTACTGAGAGAAATGATATAAGAAGATACCAGGAGACAGAATAAGGTAAGTGGCAGGTGGTTAGTGCATCTTTGAGGAGGGAAATCGCACTGAATTAGGAGTAAGGAGATCTGGGCTCTGGTTCTATGTATCCCAATTACTCGCTGTATAAATTTGAGACAGATATTTCATCTTCCTGGTTCTCAGTTTCTTCATCTGAAAAAAATGGTGGCAGGAGAATGAATTTATTCATGATAATGTCCCTTCTAGCTACAAAATAGTGATTAATGAGTCATCCAAGGATAGCATAGAACTTGATTGCTTTAGAAGTCCAAAGAGGGGGCAATGACTTTGGGCTGGGGTGATCAGGGAGGGCTTCTTGGAGGAAAGATGAAGATTCCTGCTTGGGAAGCCCCTGAGGCTTTCCAGGAATTTCCCATTGAGTTCCAGTCCAAGCTGTGGGTCTAGAGAAGAAAATGGAGATACATTGGGTTCTTAGTAGAAGTTTTTCTGGCTGTTGACTCCATTGCACTGACCAAGAAGAAAATAAGAAATCTTTGATGTAGTTTAGGACTGAGCCCGTTTCTGGCCATGTTTGAAGATGCTGAGCCTTGGGGAGAACAGAGTGGTACAAGACCATCGAAGAAAGGGCTATGAAATGAAACCAGGGACTGTAGAAACATTTTTCTAAGGGGATTAGCCAGCAAAGATTTCCAAGATCCAGTCCTACTTCTTGAGATATTTGAAAGCAACTGAGAAGAAATGCAGGAGCAAACAGCACACTGTAGTTGCTGGTGTTCCATTGAGTTGCTTTCGCCCAATTTTTACACAGTAGCCCATTAATTTGCATTCAATAAGTATATACATGGAGATATATTATATGTGCATTATATATAATGCATATATAATATATAACAACTATAATATATATACTATAATATATACTATATATACATATATGTATCTGTATACATATATGTATATGTATGTATATTATAGTACACACACACACACAGAAACATTTCTAACCATGTCTCCACTCTCTCAAGGAATGTGTTGAGCAGAAGCCTGAACTTTCTGGAGCAGTGAAACTGAGCAGAAAGAAAAGAATTTTCAGGAGTTCCCAGTATTTAGGCTGCTGAAGGAGGAGAAGGGTGAGGATAGCAATAGCTTCAATTCGGAAGTGCTTTTCCTTCTAAAAACCACCTCCAGTCTCATTGACCAGATGAGCCCAAGAATGTGGGATGTGTTACAGCTGTCACCCATTGCTGCGCGTCAGTGGGGAACCGGTACATGGAAGAGGAGGGCAGTGCCTTTCTCCAAGGCAACAGCGGCTCTTGCAAAGGGAAAGAGGAAGTCTAGTTATGAGAGGCACTGACAAAACGGGACTTGCGCAGCCCCACATATGTGAGCTGAGTCCAGACTCTCTCCCAGACAGCTGGCAGCTTCTCAATGAAAGGCTCTGCCTTGGAAGAAAGGCCCTGAGCGTGTTCCGAATTTGTGGGCGCTTAAAAGGCTTTCAGGATATTGTTCTGACAGGATGCCACGGAGGCACATTCCCTATGGGAAAAGCCAGTGGCCTGGCTGACAACACAAGGACGCTTCCCACTTGCCTTCACTTCCCTTTTCCTACTGACACAAATAAGTGTCTTTGGAAAAGACGGATGAGTGGCTAGTGGATGGTGAGTCGTTAGGAGGCGGGGGAGGGCTTGCTTCCATGTTCTCATGAACCTCGGGGTTTATGTTATTTTCATCTCCACTCTAATTTTCTACACAGAGTCCCATTTTGCAGCTTCTCTAGGCACTACTCACAAGCTTTAGACAGAAAGACTGCTCCTTCTGGACCAGTAGTTCTCAACCTGTGGGTCGCGACCCCTTTAGGGGTCGAACGACCCTTTCACAGGGGTCGCCTAAGACCATCGGAAAACAAAAAGATATTTACATTGCGATTCATAACAGTAGCAAAATTACAGTTATAGAGTAGCAACGAAAATAATTTTATGGTAGGGGGTCACCACCACATGAGGAACTGTATTAAGGGGTTGCGGCATTAGGAAGGTTGAGAACCGCTGCTCTAGACCAACAGAAATTTCCTTGGGAGGAAAAAAAATCCCCCCTCACCCTTTTCAGAAGACATTCAACCAAAAGAACAGCTATGAGGTCCTCAGTGAGAAGGACCTCACAGACGTTTGGTTGCCTAAGAAACCAGTTGCTCAGGAGAGTCCCCTGTTTCAGTGAAATGAAGGCTGCACCCAAAAGGGAAACCTGTGCTTGTACTTAAAAGCAGAGCAGATTCTGATTAATTAGGGTTGGTTTGGAGAAAGAATTAGCAAGCTTTGGCCATTGGAAGCCAACTATATAAATCTTGGCTTAAACCAAATGGAGTGACAAGATCAACTGATCCTTCTCAGCAAAAGTGAACCAAACTAAAGTCCCACATGCTTCTTCATAAGTGGTATTTACTCCTTCCAAACATCGCCAGAATTATAAATAGAAACTGCCCAGAGAGTGATAGGGGTGAGCCTGGTGAGTCAGGTGGAGCGGGCTGTTTGGATCTCAGCCTGGCCTCTTATCAGATACACGACCTTGGGCTATTTACTTAATTCCTCCATATCACTTCTTCATCTGCAAGGGAGCATGCTCATTCTTATTTCATAGACTTGTGCTAAGGAGTAATGAGGCAGTGCAGGGCCTGACCCATAGTGAGCTCTCCATAGAGTGCAGGGATTCCCATTTGCACCACTGTTATTAATGACATTACGGTGCAGATAAATTAGAAAAGACTTACTTAATACGGGCATTCCTTGCTTATCACGTTTGCTTCCTCAACCAGCGACTATCCCTCAGGGCCAAATATGATTTTTGTGATTAGAGAGATTTTCGCTTGTGGCAGTAATTACAGAGTATCACAATGGTGGGTTTCATAGCTCAACATAGATATTCCAGCAGCCCACAGCACGGCATCTGGGACTTCTGTCTCTGGCAATTAGACTATGGCCTTAGGTCTCTCCACAGTCTGCATGAGAGTAGATAGCACAGATACTATCTGTGGCTCATAGTTTGGTACTCATTTATATTTAGACAGTTACTCAATTGCTTCTTGCGTGCAACCATGTCTTTCTAGAAAGATGATAGCTGTCTTCAGAGGCAAGGACCATAAATTGCATTTGTTTCTCTTGCTTACAACATGAGTATAACATTGGGAATGCTGGAGTTTCAGGTTTTATTCATTTCCTCATTATAATCAGTATCATTATCACTACAGCTAATAGCTAATGAACAAGACCGAATAGAATACCTGGCCGAAGCCCTTTGTAAGAATTACCTCATTTAAACCATAGCTAATTTCAGTGAGCTTAGGTGCTATTATTTTCCTCATTGGGTAAATGAGGAAATTGAAGTTAAAGGACTCCTTATCACATGCCTATCATGGGCGAAACCAAATTGACTTTCAAAATCTAAGAAACCCCAAAATGAGAATGAAAGGATCGCAAGAGCAAAACAATGATAGGAATCCAGTGATTTACCCTAGAATAGTGGTTTCCATACTTTTTGATTGTACCATCCTATTGAAATAAAAATATTTTTGATTCCAATTCCAATACATATGCTAACTGTTATAAATTATATACAAGTACTAATACTATGCATATTGAAAAGATACACAGAAGTTTACAAGGGTGAATCAAATAATATGCTTAGTGTAGTTTATTCACAGTGCAAAAAACATTTTGTTTTAACCAAAATATTATATTTTATAGAATATGTTAATATTCTAAAATAATTAAAATAATATTTTTTCTAAAATATTATTTCTAAAATAATTAAACTAATATTTTCGTAATTTAGTAGAGAAACATAAATATGTTTCTTTCATTTTCTTATCTTAGTTGAACACTTTGTGATACAACAATTTGAAGCCTATATTTTAATTTACCTTGATTCATGGTTTTGACTGCCGTATCTGAAAAATTACCTCACAAGGAAATGTAGATCAAAATGGAATTTTTAATCCTTCATTCAATAGTGAAAAGTTCTTATTTTGTTTAAATTAAAATGATATTGTCCCTCACTCTATTCATACCTTTTCTTCTTTCCTTACACAACTTAAATTCCATGGTCTATACCACATATTAACCCACTTAACTTGTTTCTCTCTCTCTTTATTATAGTCTAATATTAAAACCTCAATCCTGGAAAATTTTCAACACTGACTAAATCCAGCTGCTCTGTGTCTTTCACAGTTGAATGTGGCTGAGGAAAAAGAGTTTATTGAAAGGCCTTAGCTTAGATCTATGACCACTAACTTCAACTGGGACTTAAGTGTTGCTCTGTGAACAACCTATAATTTTTCCACTCTATTACTTCTCCTCTATTAAACTATTTCATTCCTTTGACTTCTCTTTAAACATCCAAATATCTCTTCCTCATTCCCTCACCTGCTATCCTTGCCTACAGGTTCTGTGACAAATAGCAGCAGGCAGGGAAGAAGACCCCAAGCTCCCCACCGTATCCACCTCTCCCTTGCAATTCTGTCCACATATACTGGATTTCCCTCTTGTCACGATGGATGAACTGTCCATGCACCTATCTAAGGCCACCACCCATGAACTAGGTTTGGCCTCCTCTTAGCTCCTCAAGGACGTTGCCCCAACAATGCTCTCCTAACTCTCACATGTAACTCCTCTCCACTTTACCGAAGCATTCCCATCAAATGGCAATAGATAATCATTTTGTCATTTCTCTCACATTAAAACAAACAAAAAAATCTCTTTGACCTCTCATTCCCATCCAGGATCCACTCAACTTTTCTGTTCTCCCTTACAGCAAAACGCCTCCAATTTCTCCGTTCTCATTTACTCTTAAATCCATTCCAGTTGAGCTTCTGTCCCCATCACATCACAGAAACGACTTTTGTCAAGAACCCCAGTGACTACCATCGGTCCATTCTCTGTCCTCTTCTTACTTGACCCATCAATAGCATTTGACGTTGTTGATCACTCCTCAACCCGGGAATACTTTCTTCTATTGGTTTCCAAATATCACACTCTCTTTGTTTCCTTTAGGACTCACTGGCCTTCCCTTCCTTGCCTCCTTTGCTGGTTCTTCTTTATTTCCTGACCTCTGAACCTCCTTCCTACCTACACTCACTGACTTGATGACCTCATGCCTTAAAGCATCACATAGAAGCTGAAGACTCCAAATTTGTATCCTCAGAACTCCTTAAATTCCATCCCCATAGATCCAATGGCTACTTGATTGTCCTACGCAGATATCTGGTAAGCCTCACACACTTGACATGTCCAAAAATTAAATCATGGTTTCTTCTTCCCTCCCAATTTACTCCTCTTGAGTCTTATTCATTTCAATGGTTAATAACTTGGTCTTTCCAATTACTCATGCCCCCCAAATCCTGGAGTCATCTTGGATTTTGAGAAGTCAGTCTTCTCATTTGCTCATGCCCTATCCATGTCAGGACTCCTGCTGGTGCCATTTCCAATCAGTGATCACCATCTCCACTGCTAGGACCTTGGTCAGAGGCACCATGGTTTCCTGCCTAGAGGATTACAATGATCTCTTAGCTGTTCTCACTGATTTAGCCTTTGCATCCCTTTAATTTATTCCTAGCAGAGCAGAGAAATCCTGTAAGAGAAAAATGGGCAACATCTTTAAGTTTAAAAGTCTCTTAAGCACTTTGCCATAAGGAAACATATAAACTTTACACAGTACAAAATTGTTTTGCAGTTATACCTTATCTTACTACAAGTATCTAAAGCCCTTCGCATTTAAGTACTTGTGTTTATAAAATTAACCACACTGATGGCTTCTTGTAGCATGTAAACTGTGGTATGTTGCAACAGTTTGAAATTGAGGTCTCCTCAGGGTATCTCAGTTACTGTATATGACATGTGATTGTCTGAATATTGAATAAGGAGGGCTTTATCAACATGAGTTGTAAATATTTCTATAGCTTAATTTCTTATTATTTAGAATAGGAAGAAAACATAAATAGAAATTGTATTATTTTCTTCTCACATAACAGTGGATCACCTTGTGCAGTCACTGGGGTGTGGAGAGCACTGTTTATAGAAAATTTCTATAGCCCAGGAGGAAGAGAGTTCAAGATCAAATAGCCGTCCTTTGGGTAGAGAATACGTGGATGGAATGAGACCTTAACTTTTGCATAGAAAGCTCAAAATGGTAGCCAGGTAATGAAAGGTAGAGGACAGAGCCAGCTACCTATAAAGGGAAGCAGAGAGTCAAGACAGGATGGAGGGAGAATTTTTTTTTTATAGCTAGGAAAAGAAGTTTGCTTTATGAATCTGAATCTCTAAGTAAATCAATTAAGGAAGTTTTGACACGGTCCATCATCCTGACCATTTTTTTCTTTTTTTTCTTCCCCTACAGACTGGCAATGAACACTGTGCAGCTAAGTTTGGTGAGTAACCTGTCTTGCCTGCCTCCTTTCTTACTTTTCTTAGTATTTCATGCAAGACGGTAAGTTCCAGTGCTGTTAAGGAAGCCTTGATTTTATGTTATTCCTTCTTCAGCTACTATTTATAGCTGCTTATCATGGGCCAAGAACCAATCTGTCTAGGAGCTGAGGCTTCAGAGGTCAGACAGACAGACTAGCCCACACTCGATGAGGCTTATGTTCAAGGTTACGTCTCTGGCACAGCACTCTCACAGGCTTGGGAATCTGAGAGCCAGGAATCTACTTTTAATTCTGGGTTTTAACAAGCACATGTTTCGGATTTCTACCACCTTTCTCTCTGACAAACTCAAAGTGCTTCTCACATTCCACATATCGCTGGTATCCAGTAGTGTGTGTGTGGGGGGGGGGAGGGGCATTTTTGTTTCTAAATGTACAGAAGAGGAATGAGAGTTGAAGGGATGGCTACTTCCTTTCTCCTCTCTTCTTAGCTTCTTAGTTACTTTCCCTTATAGTGACCTGGTATTTGCTTAGAAAACATACTCAAGTTTACAGCTAAACTGAGTCTTAGGGTATTTCTTAAAATGCTTACACAATTGAAAATAAATACATTTTGGGTTGTTTACCGGTTTCAGGCCAAACACATTTTCAGCTGAGAGCAGAATATTTCTAAAGTTAACCACAATCCCTGTGACAGCATTAAGCTAGGGGTACTTATATTTATATTTAAACAGTCCACTTATAAACTCATGAATTTACCAGTTACTATTTTGGGAGAGTTTGCATAATGATCCCAAGTGGATCTTGAATGATATATACCCATAAACCAATGAGAAAAGCCACAGTTTAGACACAGTGTACCTAATTCAGGAACATGGATGTTGTCAAGAAATATTTATTGAGCACCTACCAGGTACCAGGAACTCTTTTAGGTGCTGAAGATACAGTGATGAACAAAATAGAAAAGTACTTGTCCTCAAAGATGTTCTATTCAAGTGAGCAATAGATAGACAATAAACACATGAACAACTTAATTTTATAAAATGCTAGGCTGGTGACACCATCTATGGAGAAAGCTAAAGCAGGGTAAAGGGAGTGAGGGTAGAGCACTATCTTATATAGATGAATGAGAAGATCTCCTTGATGAAGAGATACATAGGGAATAGCGCTTACACAGAAAAGCATGAATACGCATCCTGGGCTATAAACCGTTACCACAATCCTGGTGTGTGATTCTCTCCCCGTCCCCCTTCTTTCTTTTCTTTCACAAATATTCATCAACGAGAGACACAGTACCACCTAAAACTTGACCCATTTTTCTATTCTAAATCCACTTCCTTAGAGCTCTCCAAGCAAGTGATATACTTAGGGTTTGCAATTTCTCTAAAACAAGGAATAGATACTTAATATATTCAAATTGTGGTTGAAGAGAACTAGCATAGCCCAGGTAAAGAAAAAACTTGTAAGTGGGAAAGAACTATAATCAAGAAGAGGATGACATAACTAAATAACTATGCTCTCCATGTTTTCCTCCCTTGTACATTTCTTATAGGACCATTACCTTCAAGATGGCAAATGACACCTCATGAGCCTCCTTGTGTAAATCAGGTAGCTGACTGGAAGCTGGAGATACTTCACAGTGGCTTGTATTTAACTTACGTCCAGGTGGCTCCCAATACAGCCTACAAGGAACCAGCTCCCTTCGAGGTGCGGCTATATAAAAATGAAGGCATCCTACAGACTCTGACAAACAATGCTACAATCCAAAATGTAGGAGGGATTTATGAATTCCATGCTGGAGATATAATAGACTTGCTCTTCAACTCTGAAAATCAGGTTCTAAAAAATAATACATACTGGGGGCTCTATCTGATAGGAACCCCCCAATTCGTCTCCTAGAGCCTTGAATTGGTCTCCTCATCCTCTTCAGCATACGCAGAGATGCTGGTGGGTGGCTGGGAGGAGGCAGATTTTCAAGGCCTACCGTTTGTCTGGGTACATAAATCAACACAACAAACAGAACTACTCTGCCTGTGAATTTTCATCTCTCACTCTTGTTCGAAAGAGGCTCGGAGGAAGGGCCAACGACATTTGGTTACCCCGGACACTGGGTTGGCAAAGACACGACCAATCCATGATAAAAATGAATATGGGTGGCTAGGGGGCAGAACTTCTCAAAGAGTCTTTATCTAATCTTTGAATCCATGGGTGGAAAAATGAGGTCTTATTCCTGTGGGAGTCTTACCTGTATGCAAAAACAATCCTGGACAATGGCCCTGCCTTGCTCTCAAATTCTTGGGTTGTTTCCCTTCACTCTTCCCATCTTCTGAGGCCCTCCTAATAAAAACAGTGAGACTGGTAGGGTGCCTATAGATACGCCAATCACACTCCACTTTAGATGTGATGCTATTAGAGGATGGAGAACACTCTAGGGAACTATTGGGACACAGGCCCAGGTGGCATGGAATGGAATGCACTTTATTTGGGAATTTCCCTTGATTTCATTGTGCTCAGGATGCAGGATGCTTTATAAAGCCAGTAGGTCGAATGGGTAATTCTGAACCTTCACATAGGGCTTTGCGAGAACTCATTGTTTATGGGTCTAAACACTATTAATGGTAAAAGTAGAGTAAGCATTAGTCATCACAAGATGTCACGCCAGAAATTGATGTTACCAGTGCTGTATAATGCTGTGGAAGGATTTCCTAGTTTTAGCTGGCTCTCCATAGTTCACAAAGTGCTTTCATATATCACTTGGCAATTCCATAAAGTTAATGGGGCAGATACTTGAGGCACAATTTTACCAATGAGAATATGAAGGCAGATGGAACATAGATAAACTGTCTTAACCCACAGAACTAGTGATGAATAGGACCGATGGGCTTCCCACCCTATCACACTATCTCAGCTTTAGAGTTGGTATTTCTGCCATCACATTATACATCTATGAGGTTTAGTAGACTGAGTTTTCAGAAGGTGTTACTCCCTTTCAGCCCAAGGTGGATGGAGAGAAGCCATAACAGATCTCTCCTTGCTCAGCAAACTTCTTTTCTTCTCCCTGCCTGGAGTAGGGAGCACACGGGTGTTTCTCAGGGCTTACTCCAACCAAATCACCTTCGTCACTTGGCAGAGGTCAAATATGTTAACTTCTAAATATCCAAGTCAATGACAGCCTACTAAGATTTGGGACTCTGTTAAATTAATAAGCTGCTTGTGGATTCTTGTTGAAAGCTATACAATATGATTACATGTTAACCCGATTTCAAATATTTATGGATATTTGTAAAAAGCTACGTTATGTTAATAGTATCACATAGAATGCTAATTTAAAATATTTGTATTGTGTGCAACAAAGAGTTGCTTGGGAGCAGGCTAAACTTGGGACCAAGTTACTTCCTTTTTTGCAATTTTTAAAATTAAATCTATTGGTTACATTTGTTAATAAAATTATATAGGTTTAAAGTGTACAATTCTATGTCATATGTATATTGCATTGTGTGTTCACCACCCAAAGTCAAATCTCCTTTAGTCTCCATATATTTGACACCATTTATTTACCCTTTTTTATGTTCTTCCTTCCCCCTTTCCCTCTGGTAACTGTTGTCTCTGTGAGTTTTTGTTTGTCTTGTTCGTTTGTTTCTTTCAGTTTTACATCTCATCACATGAGTGAAATTATATGGTTCTCGACATTTTCCATCTGATTTATTTCACTTAGCATGATAATCTCAAGATCCATCCATGTTGTTGCAAATGGCAGTATTTCATCTTTTCTTATGGTAGAGTAGCATTCCATTGTGCATATGTACCACATCTTCTTTATCCAATCATCTATCGAAGGACACTTCGGTTGTTTCCATTTCTTGGCCTCCATGAATAGTGAGGCCAAGATTCTTAATAAGTGTTTTTGAAACATATGTAGGGCCGAAGACTTTAATCAATGCCTTGTTCCTCTTGCATTTGCGTATCTTCTCAGGAAATTAAAGTTATATCACATCACCAACCCTGATCACGTCAATTGTCTTTCACCTTCCATTTTGCCATCAAAGCTGACCTAGCGTGTTTTATATCCTTGTGGGTTAAGTCTCTGCTTCTGAAGATAGCAGTTAGTTGAAAAGTGATGCAGTCCTGTGCATTTGTTGGAGACTAAGTCCTTAGAGGAAGTATATCTGTTCATCTTGAAGATGAAATTCCTGCCTTTATGTGTTCTATCTCAAAGAAGCAATTTCGTATGTGGTGATGGAAGGACATTTTTTTATTAGAAGGAGCAGCAAAAACCTGATTGGCTTACAGGTGAGGGAGCCTGAAGATTACCTTCAAATAGAAACTATAAATGATGTCCTGGCAGGCACACTTTCCTTGACCTGAGAGGATGCATCTCTATTTGGGAGTCACCTGTGACCCTGGCAGAGTCCCTCCACTGGTCGTGACTCTCCTGTGAATCCCACATCTACCCTCAGGAAACCTGTACACATGCCTTGGCGCTACAAATTCAGAGGCAGTGAGCTCACCTCAGTGTAGCAGGATTCTCGTATCTCTATTGAAGGAGTTGACCTCTCTCTTTCCAACAGATTTCCTGGGTGTTGTCAGACTAGCCCACTGCCAGCTTTAGCTTTCTCAGGTGGGAGGCAGGCACCAGTTCTCTGTATCTTCCAATGGCAGGAAATACATTTCAAAGCTGTTTTAGAGTCTCCCTTGAAGTCCTCCTACCAGGCTCAAGGTTAGAAAGTTTCATTGCTTCCCATCTCTCCTGCACAGGGAGCGGGTGAGGACTCACAGTACGGCCACAGCTCTTTGAAAACGTTATCACAATCTCTCCTCCTCTCCTCTCTGGCCTCCTTTTAGGTTCTTGATTCTGCCAGAGTATCGAAGGGTAGTGGAAAGGGGAGCTTATCTTCATTCCTTTTGTAAATTCTGCATATTGTGGGGACAATTGTCTTACTCTCGCTTTGCTATCCAAGTACCAATCATATTATGCCCGAGTTAAAACTGAGTCAGGAAGAGGCCCACTTTAACATCCAGTTATACTCTCCTATGTCTAAAAGGGGTCTGGGAAACCATTAATAAAAGGCAGAAATACAAAAATCCCCAAACCATCATCACAGGAGCAATAAAATAAAAGCTTAATACAAAGGCAGAGGGAGAGGAAAATTATTGTTCAGGAAAGTGAGACTTAAGAACGATATCTACCCAGGGTGCTAAAAAAAATAAACAAAAGAAGTTACCCCTAGGCTTCATTTGTACTCTGTTGAATAAACATTTCTAGGAGTGAGATCTAGGAATCAAATTTTTTAAAAACTCTGACCCATAGATTATTCTTCTGCACATGACAGTTTAAGAACCACTGCTTTACGGCATTCAACTCTGAATCTCAGCTGTACATTTCTCCGAAGAGTCAAAGCTTCTAGACAAACAAAATATAAAAGCAAAACAAAACCGAAACAAAATGGAAAACAGAGTTGGTGCTGCCCATGAGGCTTACCGTAACCCACCTCTCATCACAAAAGCAAATGGCCTTCTATCCTCTCTCTGAGTCCGAACAAAGGTCGGGCTCTTCGCTTTTCATAACCTGACGGCCACTTTGTCACTTGAACATCGGCAGTCTAAGGCATATGAGTCTTGTCACAATCAATACTACATCACTAATCCAAGTTGCTCTCCTTGACTTCAGATGTACAAATCCAACTGTCTACTCAACAATTTCACATTGCAGGTATAACAGATGTCTCAAATTCCACACATCCAAAATGAATCTCTTAATGTTTCCCCAAACCAGCTTTGCTTGAAGCACCCCCGTCCTCCCCCCTGCCCCCAACTCCCCACAGTTATAATAAATTGTGCTGCATGGGTGAAAAATCTCTGAGTCATGGACGCCTCTTGACTCTGGTCTTACACCCATTTAATCTGTGAGGAAATCATATTTCTTTACCTTCAAAGCGAATCTGACCTCTTTTCTGCTATGACTCTTGTCTGTGCCACCAAGATTATTTCAATAGCTTTATAACTGGTTACTCTGCTTCTACCTTTATAGTCAGACAAGCTTGTTTTCAAACCCCCATTTTGCCATTTGCTACTTATTTGGATCTTGGACAAACTACTTGCCCTCTCTGAGAATCAATTTCTTGTTTGTTTTGTTTACTGTTGTTTATTCAATGCTTCACACATAGTTGGAGCTTAATAAATACTTGCTGTATCAATAAATACATTTAGAATTGGTTTAAAATACAAAATAAGATATGTAAAGTTCCTGATACAGAGTAGACACTGAAATAATGGCTCCTGTTGATTTTATTTTTATTAAAGATTTGGATTTTTTCCTCAGTTTTGATTCTAAAGTTGAGGTGTTTATTTAATACCTCTCTTATTCCCTCTTTTCCCCAAGAAAAGGTAAGGCCCAAGAGAAAAGCATTTTATTTATTCAGTGCATATCACCAGAACCTCAAGTTGTGCTCAGATCATTGAAAGAACTCAACAAATATTGAAATGAATGAACAAAAAAGATGGGACCCTGGTTCTTGGTTAGAATGACCAGCAAGACACAAGATACATACGTTGTAAACAACCTCTCACTTTCATTCCTGTAGGTTTTTAAAACTCTAAGTAATGCATGGAAAATTCGAAATACACACAGAACAAGTGCTCAGTGAAAGTTGGCTACTATCACTATCATACCCATAGAACACATTAGCTTGCCTTACAGTAGTAATGCTTCACCAAATTTTAAGTTAAACTTGTGCCTTCGGCTCTTATTGAATATCTATATTAGACATAGCCATGTACATCTTTTCCATTAATGCTTCTTATAACAATGTTTATCATGTTACTTATCCTTTATGGCGAACACATTTAGGAAAACTGATCTCTCATGAACATGAAGCCATATTCGTATGGGAATTTTTTTCTCACGAGTTTTTTCTATAGAGCAATAAAGAGTTCTGTAATATGTGAGATTTTGGAATGCACACATCTTCCCTCTGCAAAGGCATTAGAACTGTCTAGAACTTTGAATTTGTTATTGATTACTTCCAGTGAATATTTTCAGAAATACGAACTGTGGTTTCGAGCCCAGGTGTGGACAGATGCTGCCTTAGGTGTTGAGTTGCTCCTTCAACAAAGCTTTTCAGAGAAGTTAGGTCAGAATGGTGAAATTACCATGTCTGAAGTATAGTCTTCAGGTTTATAGGCCCAGAAATTAAATTTTATCAAAGTCTTAGAGTGTATCAATCTCTCAGGGGCTGCATAACCAGACTCAGAAGACTGTGAGATATAAACTAAGGTGGCAGATTATTGGTCAGCAGTCTCTCCCTGAAGGAGCACTGTTTGGGAATTTAAATTATAACCAGAAGGTTATCTCCAGGCATGGAGTCCAAGTCAGTTAGAGGACCCCAATGAATAATGGCCAAGATACCAAGCATAGCTTTTATTCATGAACAAATATTTACTGGGACCAATTATATCCCAGATATTATGGTGGGTACCAGAAGGAATACAAAAATGAAGAGACAGATTGCCTGCCCTTAAGCAGTTTAGAGTTTAACACAGAAACAAGTATGTAGACAAATGATCAAAGGACTATGTATACTGGGGGTGTCAAAAAAACAACGTACACAAGTGGACACTTTGGTCATCATTGCTCAAGCAGTAGTTCGCTGTAATCAGAAGTGTCTGGATGCTGCAGGTAACCACTTTGAGCACCTCTTGTAATTGCAGAAGTCACGCGTGACTTGTATTCATCTTTTGTTATTGGTATACATTGAGTATTACAATTGTAATACAGTTTTCTTTTCTTAAAATGTGTGTACATTTTTTTGTCACCCTCTGTATAATAATTACTCTAAGGGGAGTAAATTAGTCCATGGAAGAGATGAAGGAGAATCTGACCAAGGACAATGACATTGCCGATGAGGACAGTAAATAGATTGAGAGAAAAATTTATGACATAGAATCATCAGACTTTAGTGATTGTGGTAGATACTAGTGGTGTTTCTGCGAAGCTCGTTATGGTTTCCTTATTAGACTTCCTTATCCACTAGGGTGGGTTTCAGTAGGCTCATTTCTACCAGGGAAGCCTGTTCCCTTAGCCGGAGTTGACTTGTCCAGGATTAACTACACTTGGGTGGTCTTTTAACTGGAAAAGATAAAAACCTGGGAGCTAGAGGAAGCCCATATTCCCCTCTATAAAGTGGACTGAGAAGCAGAGAAAGTCAATCTGGCTGAGACAAAAGAATGAAAGGGATATGCTGAAAAAAGCAAAAATAAAAGATGGGAAGAAACCCCACTGAACTGT